AAATGGAACTAATACACAGCCACTGTCCCCCCCAAATGGAACTAATACACAGCCACTGTCCCCCAAATGGAACTAATACACAGCCACTGTCCCCCCAAAGTGGAACTAATACACAGCCACTGCCCCCAAAATGGAACTAATACACAGCCACTGTCCCCCAAATGGAACTAATACACAGCTACTGTCCCCCAAAAGTGGAACTAATACATAGCCGCTGCCCCAAAAGGAATTGGTTGCCACCTAACCACTTCAGGAGGTCGATGAAGGGCTGAGGGTACTGGAGGAAGAAGTCCAAGGTCCCTGGAAGGCACCAACAAAAGACCCAACGGAGGCCCCAGAACTCGACAGACCACCACATGGAAAGCGGTCAGTGCTGGGTGTGCTCACTGGTCTGGTCCAAGCACACTGGAAGACAGCTAGGTGCCTGACCAGGCGAGGCCCACATCTGTTCCCATTCTAAGGAAAGGGGACCCAGCCAAGGGATGACAGGGCGGCCACCCTGGGCTCTCACCGGCCGGGTTGTGACATGGGAGCAGGGGCAGGGGCAGGAGCAGGCAGCGCTTCCTGCTGCACCCACGGAGTCTCCGTGAGTCTGCACAGGCTGACAAGGAGGAGCAGGCAGTGTCCCTAGGGTGGTAGGAACTGAGAGGGACCAGGGACAGGCCAGACTCAGACTCGGCTCCCCAGCCTGTGGGGATTGGTGGGGGGGAAGGTGGTGTGGGGAGGCAGGGAGGGGCTGCATCAGAACGTTCCAGGAGGGTGAGAAAGGGGCGAGGGGGTGGGGTCATCGAGACCGGACAGTGTTTCAAAAGGAATCAGCCATCCCATGGGTCAGAAGATGGGCTTTTACCCAGGAAGAGACTCGGAAGCTGAGCACTACAGGGCCAAGGCCAACCCGGCTTTCACTTCTCCGCGCACACACAGGGCAGGTGGGTGGGTGGGGGGGTCTCTCCCTCCTCTGGCCTCCCCTCCCCAAGGCTCACACTGCCCTTCCTTCAAGCTGCATGGGAGGATGGATCACCAGCTGGTGTGTTGGGGGTGGGCTCCCCACTCTGCAGGCCACATACCCTCTGGCTGGGGGCTATCAAGTTGTGCCTGGGGAGGGAGGGACGAAGAGCTGTGGGGAACGTGGAGGACATTTTAAGCTCAGGGTCCGCTTGGGGCACCAAGTGACATGTAGTGGACCTTGGTGACCTTCCCCTCAGGGTCAGGGCTCCTCGCAGAGACTGGACAGACACCCTCCTGGTGGTTGGCCCGTGGGCTTGAACACTACCCTCTGCAGGGACACTGCTGGTCCCCCCTCCAGCCCCCCCAGCTCTCTAGGACACTGTCACCTCATCTCGGCCTCCCTCTCTGGCATGCTCCTAGCCTGGCCCAGGCCACTCCCCTTTGGTCTGACCCTCTGCAGAGGCGGCCCTCATGGGTGGGAACAGGAGAGGAGGGTGGGGAGCTGGGGCCTGAAAGGGTTGGGAGGGGTAGCTGCCGTCCGGTGGAGGGTAGGGTAGGGGCTCCTCCGGGGAGCCCCTCCCCTGGGGAATCCCATCTGCCATACTTCACAGTCCCTAGCTGGCTTGGCATGGACAGAAAAGCTACCAGTAAGCCGAGGCCCTCACAACTCTCCCCTCTCAGATCCTGCATGGCAGGGGTGGGGAGAGTGGGTGAACACGCTCCTGGGCCAAGGACTGTGGGCAAGACCTCAGCTTCCAGAGAGGGCCCTGGGTCCCGAGGCGTGGGGCTGCACCTGAGGGGGCATGTGGAGACCCTTCCTGGCTCCCCGTTCCCAGCGTGTGGGGCGGTGCTCTGGAAGGGTCCTTGAGTGGCGGACAGAACCGGGGTTGGGCCAGAGCCTTGCAGGGTTCACCCTCCGGCTCTTTACAGTGGCCAAGTGTGCCCAGCTAGTGCCCCGACGGATGGGCAGGCCTACCTCCTGGGCATCCTTGAGTGGTGCCGACTCGCTGACGCTCAAGGCAAGCACTTTTGGTTCCACTTCCCCTGGGTCACCTCAGGTCAGAAGAGACTCCACAGCCACTAACTGTGCCCCTCTCCCTTCTACCCGCCCCAACCCCACTGAAAGAGGGCAGCAAAGCTCCAAATCACTGTGATGTGGCTTTTTACCATGGCACACTTGCTCTCCGCACCGGGACAGCCCACGGTGCAAGTGGTCTTGGGAAACCACACAGTACAAAAATACAAAAATAAAAATACTCTCTAGGATTCTGATGTGGAGGGACATGACCAGGAGTCCAGGGCCCAGGGCCCAGGCAGAGGCTTCCCCACCAGGCTGTCTGTAGCCCTCAAGGCCTGGAGGGGTCTCCCAGCAGGACACCCCAGTAGAAGGGGATTGCTGGCCATGACAGGTCCTGGAAGGCCAGCCTCAGTCTGCCCAGGGAGAGCCCAGGGAACCAGGCATGGCCAGCGAGCATGGCCGCGAGTTTTCAGGCTTAGGGATGCCAAGGTGTCAGGGGACACTGTCCTGCCCTGTCGCAGGCAAATGAAGGTCCCGGCCCGAGGCAGGGGGCCCAGAGTGGGTGGAGGGTTTTGAGTTTTCCTTTTCCCGGGACCCGTCCCTTCATGGCAGCCAGGGCAAGGGTGGCTGGGGCCTCACTCCACAGGGAGCTGAGATGGGTCTCCTGGCCCGTGGAGCACAGACAAGGCACCCCGGCTGGCCTAGTTGGCACCTCTGGTATGTAGGCCAGAGTGTGAGTAGGGGCAGGCTGGGGAAAGGGGGCAGCTGCCCACCACTGGCTCAGAGCTACCCCTGGTTCTTATTGGCCACCCCCCCACCCCCGCCCCCACTCTTGGGGACTGAGATGAAGTTGCAGCAGTCACTGCAAACAGGTGTCAGTGAGCAGGAAGGGCGGGTGCCAGGGAGCCAGGTGCAGCTGGCTTCCCTCGGGGTGTCTGCTGCTGAGGGTGCCACTCCAAGTGCAGGGCACAGGTGCAGTCCAGGCCCTCCCAGGCCTCAGGGCTTGTCCTGGTCCAGCTGCAGGCTGGCTGCCGGGTCTAGACACTGCTGACTCGGGCCTCCACTGAGGGGGGCATTGCAGCACCCACGAGCTTGTCCGGGGGGCGCTCTCGCCTCACGTAGCGTGGTTTCCGCACTACAAGGGTCAGCCGAGAGGGCACGGGTCAGGGCCAGGCGGGAGGGGAGCAAGGCCAGTGTGGGGTGGGCGAGCTCCTGCTCACTCTCACCCTCCCTCCTAATGCAAGCTCACTTGTGAAGGGGCCCCGCCCTCCCAACTCAGGGAGAACAGAGGGACAAGGAAGGAGGTCCCCTAGAGCCTGCTGACAGCCCCCCACCATAAGGGACTCCTGGCAGATGGGGGCTGGGCTGTGTTTGAGACTTGGGGGTGTGGTCACCCACAGTCCTGGCCCGGAAGTGGCAGCTCGCACACCTGGGGGGTGGGGAGGCTTGATGGGGGGCTGGGGGCAGCTCCCAGTGGTGAAACACGCAGGCCTGTCTTCCTGAGCAATCCCCAATGCTCACTTTGAAACTCCCACCCTCGGAGCAGCTGACCCGCTGCTCTGGTCCCTAAAGAAAGAGCACTCCATTGCCCCACCCGCACAGGGCAGAGAGCGTGGGCTCTGGGGCTGGCACTGGGTGGCTGCGCTGTGGGGTGCGGAGTTGGTGCCCTTTCTGTGTTCTTGGCCCCTCATGGGGTCCCTGGGGTCGCCAGTGGGACTGACGCTCCCGAGGAGCCAGTGGGCTCCCTTGGAGGGACCTGGATGTTTTGGGAGGTGACCCCCGAGAGGAGGCGATGGGCAGAGCCAGGTGTGTGTTACCTGAGGACTGTGGCCTGGGGATCATCGCCGCCTTGAAGGGAGAGAAAAGCAGAGTGAACGGCAGGGCTGGCCTGGGGGTGTGTGTGGGGGGGCAGGCAGGCGCGGGCTGGGGTGCTGGAGGCAGGCAGCTACTTACGGCTTCCCGGGGCTGCAGAGCCGGGGCTGCGGGAGGAGAGAGAGTTGGTGGCCGTGTGGTCCACAAGGCGATCTCGGAGGCCACCCCATGTCCTGCTCGGCAGCATTCTGGGCTGACCGCCCTCCTCCCGCCCTGGGCTCAGCCGGGCTGCCCACGAGGGACACACCTTTGTTTCTGCGGCAGCAGAAGCTGGGGAGCTTACTGGTGCGCTTGAGGTAGAAGAACCCGGCCACAGAGAGGATGAGGCCCGAGCTGACGAAGAACGTGCCCAGGAAGAGCGAGGCAACCACCTGGGGGCCCCCTGCGGCAGAGTGACGGCCAGTCCCGGGGCCCCACTGGCTCCCCACACCTCCCTCGGGGCTGGCCCGGCCTCCTGCCCCCCGCCAGGCAGGAGTTGGACAAGGGTGTGAGTGGCCCTGGCCCAGGTCAGCCAGGGGAACCAGCCCTGGCAAAGCCCCCGGGCTCCCACACCCCTCCCCAAGCAGGGCCAGATGTGTGGGTTCCGTCTGTGCTGGGTGACTCACTGGCACTTGGCATCGTGGGTGTCCCCGTGCTCCTGTTCATGGGGAGGAGACCCCCCCGGCTGGAGGCTGTGATGAGAGGCCAGAGTGAAGCTGAGGGCTTTGGGGGTCACAGGCGAGGAGGCTGGGGGACCAGGAGGGTGACTTACGGCTGTGGCACTCGGAGCTGTTGGTGGCCGCGGCCGGGAAGGAGGTGTTGGGGCACTGCAGGCAGCTGATGCCCCCGTCCTCCGCCCTGTGCTGGTAGCAGCCTGCACGGGGTGGGGTGGGGGTGCTCTGCTCTCTA